TGTATATACACACACACAGAGAGAGAGAGCCCTGTGTATATACAGAGAGAGAGAGATGGGGAATATGGGTATGCTTGGTAACAAGCACACTCTTGGTGTATTGGTGTAAGAGTGTTTGGTAGTGATGTGACTCATTTCCGTCCACTTAAAGAGGGAGGGCGGGGGACCACATTCACATGGGTGCATATGGGTTGGATAATATAGGGGTGGTTATTTTCAAGCAGGGACCATAATTAGGTAGGGTGTCGCTGATGTGGCGAAAATCTAACAGATCACCTAAATCTCATGATATAATTATGCAAACAGTGTCCTATTCAAGGAATTATTTTATTTTCTAAATAAGAAAATCTCCTAAATCTCTTTTTGTGATCAATACCTACTCTTCCTTTCCTTTAATAAGAAACATGGACTCTTGCCTCTTCTTTTCTTTTTCTCTACTCTCTCTTCTTAAGAGCGACTCAACATATCCTCAACACGTTCTCTAAGCAAGTAGAAAGTTTCTGTCAACCCATTCTCTTCATCAACTTGACTCGAAAAATTCTGTAAGTCCCCTTCCTCAACCATTTCTCTTTTTTTGCTTTCAATTTTTCAGATTTATTATAAACTTACATTTGAAGATAAAAAAATTGAATTCAAAAATTATCTCCTTGATTAAGATTTTATTTGTTTAATATTGTCGACTCAACTTTAACATTTGCATAGTTCAAATTTTAGATTGGAATATAACTGAGAGGTCAAATTGAGATATATTTAAAAGTTGTATTCACAACTTAATTAGAAATTTTTAATTGAAACCTGGAAAACTTTAGTCCAAATTTAATATTGAATTAGGATCTTCATGTGGTTGACTAAAAATTAAGATGGTATTAAATTTTATCATATGCTAATGTGTTCTCATCATATTTTTTTCCAAAATGGAGAAAGTACTGATTAATGGCATATCTTAAATTGCTTTACGTAGGTTCCTTCACTACTCGAGTTTTCTTAAATGTGACCGTTTTTGTCAGTAAGCTTAAAACACTAGAATCTTTTGATTTCATTTTAGTACATTGTGTATAATTATTTTTCCTATATATGTGATCTCCAAAATAATTTACATGAAGTTAGAAGAATCTACACCGGTAGTTTTTCTTTTTAAGAGATGGGGGCATATGAACAACTTTGAAAAGATAGCTTAACTCATAACATGCTGACAATTTTTTTTTAACAAGTCTGACTATATTCGAAATTTAGTTGTCTAGCATAACTTATAAAATGCTGACTATCACTATAAGCCTACTGATGTTTTTGAAATCTAGTTCTCTGTAATAGCTAGTTGGTCTATTAATGTCTTATGCTTTTTAATGAAATATTTTATTCCATTCACTATGTAATTATAAATGTCCATAATGCTAATGCATGAGTGGTTTGATATATCTTAATAGATGGCTAATGAGGAAGCAGATGAACTGGTGCACATTAGTGGAAATGTTTCTCGATTTGATGAACGTACTGATGAGGAAAGTCATGATATTATGGATCTCAAGGACATTGAAACAAATATTATTCAAGAAGATGAAATTAACATTGTTCGACAGCCATATAGCGGGATGGAGTTCTCTACTGAGGATAAAGATTATGTCTACTATAATAAATATGCAAAGCAAAGAGGATTTGTCATCAGAAAAAATCATGTTGACCGGTCTAAGAAAATAAAGAAATCATCATACGAAGAATGTTTATTTATAACAAGGAAGGTTATACGAATGTAAATTATAAGAGATCAGGAGATTCTGTTGTCCGTAGGGCTAATAGTAGAGTCAACTACATGGCTAGGATGGTAATTTGTAGAAAAGAGGACGCATGGATTGTCAAACAATTTAATAATGATCATTCGAAACATGAACTCAGTAGCCCAGATAAAGTAATTAAGCATCGTTCTTATAGACAACTACATCGAATACTACTGATCCAAGATCTCTTGACTAATCTAAAGGGTCAAAGGTTACAATCTTCTACAATTTCAAGGGTTGCGAATGCTGTAACTAGAAATCATGTAGAGAAAGTTACTCCTCAACTGTGTCATGATCACCTCAGGAACCTAAAGAGGAATAATATTAGATGAGAGGCCCTTACAAGTGTAAAACACCTCCAAAGCAAACAAGCATCAGAACCTGATTTCTTTTTTGGCAATACAATTAGATGATGATCTCACATTTAGAAGTGTATTTTGGACCTATGGAAGATCTAGAAATTCACATATAAATATTGGTGATGTCCTTGTCTTTGATGTGACTTCTAGGACACAATCTAAAGCTCCCATTTGCTCCATTTACTGGAGTAAACCATCATCGACAGTCTATATTATTTGGATGTGCACTACTAGCTAATGAGAAAGAGGCGACATTTGTATGGGTATTCAGATAATGGTTGAGATGCATGTCAGGAGTATCACCTAATGCAATCATCACAGATCAGGATGGGGTTATCTGCAAGACTGCAATGCTATTGAGATAGTTTTTCCAGAAAGCCATCATCGATTTTGTCAATCGCATCTTCGCAAACATGAAATGGTGCAAATCCAAGATTTGAATTGAGATCATGAAAATATTTGGGAGGACTACAATACATGAAAGAAGAGTAGTACAATAGAGAAATTTGAGGAGCAGTGGAAGATTATGAAGGAAAATATAACTTCGATGATAGGAGCCAGTTATCAATCATGCACCAAAAGAAAAATCATTGGGCCCCTATTTTTCTTAAAACCACATTGTTTGTAGGTATGACAACACTAATAAGTGAAACTATTAATGCATATTTTGATAGCTATGTAAATCCGTAGACCTCAATTAGTGATTTTATTGAACAATACAACAAGGCGTTATCAGACAGTACTGCTGTAGAATTAAATGAAGATTTTAGAACATTGAATGTGATTCATATGATGATTTCTACACACCCATTTGAAAAACAAGTCGCAAAATGTTATACCAGAAATATATTTGACGTATTTCAAAAGGAGTTTAGAGATAAAGATAGTTGTGAGCATCACAAGTTGGCTAAAGACATGGATTTGAACATTGTTACTTATAAAGTTTGATTACTTGATGATGAAGCGGAAAAAAATGGAACAAAGTTATTTTTGATGCATCTAAAGAGGAAGCTATATGTAGTTGTGCCAAGTTTGAGACTATTGAGATATTACGTAACATATACTATGCATTATGGTAGTAAAGAAGCAAATGCGTCCTATCCCCGATCATTATATATTAAAGAGATGGATACTGGAAGCAAGACACCATAACTTTAACATAAGTGGTCACATAATTGAAAGAAACAATAATGAGGACCAGGTCTCTATTTTTAAATTCATGGCAACTCAAAAATAAAAAACTAACAAAATACTGGTAGAAGCAAGAATCTTGGAGGGAATTCATAAGGAGTTTGATGAGATAGTTTTAGACTTTTTAATGAATATAATGAGTAAAAGATCCAAACAGGTTGAGGAATGTGTAAATACAAGTCAAATTGAGACACCCAAGTCATGGACTATTAAGGATTCATCACGAATCACTATCCATTGATCCGATTGGACCAGCGAAGACCAAGGGTTGTGGAGGACGACCCACAAAAGACAAAAGAATTCAAGATGGTTTGAGATAGCACAGCAAAGAAAGATAAACGAAAGTGGCAATGTCAAAATTGCTTTGAATATGGTCATTATAGAAATACTTGCACTAAAACTCAGGTACAGATTAAATTACTTTATAAATATGGCCAGTTTCAAAATATTTTCAGTCTACTTATGAGAACAATAATGTGATTATGTTTAACTTATGTTTAATTCTTTTGTAGAAGAATGGAAAGAGTATTGATCTATCTTCTCTGTAACCCATATCATGATATTTTGGGAATTGAGTTGCTTTGATGACAGGTATGATATATACTTTCATACTTGAAATTTTTATTATATTTTAGAATGGAATTACATTTAGTAGCAATTATGAATAATTTTTCCTTAATTGATTATAATACAAACTTTACTTTTATCAATAGGTTGTATTATCTATTAGCGATACAAGTGTTTCGGAGAACTGAAGTATGATAAAGATCTTGTTGAGGAAGATATTAGGAGGAGATCCTATCACTTGAAGAAGTTGATATGAAGCTTTCAAGATGATTTTTTAAGCTTCTGATGATTCACAATATTTTTAGAGACTCTTCACCATATTTGTTTCCTAGATACTTTGCACTTGAGGCTTTGGCTCTCTGTCATTTACATACCTATTAGAATTAAATTGAGGTTATTTTTTTCTCTCAAAAGACCATATTTTATTAGAAGGCTGCTATGGACTGTCCTTGGTAATGAAAGTTATATTTGCAGTTAAAGTACACTGTCTCTGTTTGATAATAAAAGTTATATTTGCAGTTATAAGCGAAATAGTGATTAAATTGACTCAGTATGCTCCCCGTCCTCATCGACTTCTAGCTAACTTGATGATCTAGTTTTCATACTCTATTTTGTTTTTCTTTCTATTGCTCTAAAAATGTAGAGCTCCCTGCTTAATGGAGAATATATAGCAGGCGATGAAGAGGTTGTACTTTGACAGTCATTCAGTTGTTAGCTTGTATGTGCCTGAGATGAAAAAGCTTTTGTCCATATTATTGAATTTTTTATTACTAAAAGAACTCATCTATAGAGATTTTCTAGAATGAACCAAAATAACATGAGCTTCACATCCTTGTGCTTACAACTTATTAATTTTCTCCATCTATTGATTAATTAATAGACCATGTTCATCATTGGTCTCAGCTTAATCAAGTTCCCAACATCAATTCATACAGGTGAATAAGTTGTATTATTTATTAATTGAAAGAAGTTCCCAACATGAATTCCCTCTTCCATATTGTTAAAATGTTAAAATAGATAGTAGAGAAAGAAACAGATTGAGCGGAATCAGATGAATCATGAGGAGTTTAGAATAAAGATTCGGTGTACAAGTAGACCACAGAGAGAGATTTAGGAGATTTTCTTAATTTAGAAAACAAAATAATTCCTTGCATAGGGGCTGTTTGCATAATTAGATAATGAAATTTAAGTGATCCGTTAGATGTTCGCAGCATCAGCGACACCCAACCAAATTAGTTAGAGTGACACGATACACACACACACACATATATATATGTATGTATGTATATATATATAGATACTAATGCGTTTAGGCCCACCCTAGTTGACACCTCGCAATGTGTGGATCTCACCACTTTATCTCTTGGTAGCTTCTTTTGCTAAATGAGCCTCCACCTCAACCATCAATCCTGCATGTATGTGTGTGCGCATCTGTGTGCTCAGCTCATCTTGCTAAATGAGCTGAGCAAGAGAGAGGTGGTGAAGCCCACCTAACAAGTCACATTAGATGGGTATTCTCCCTTCGTTTACATCTTGGTAGCACATTTAACAATATGAACTGTCACCTTGTAGGTGCCTACACGAACATAATTACACGCACAGACACAATTATATACCTACACGCGCGCGCGCATCCATGAGACGGGTCTATTGTATTGTTCCATAGCTCATTTTTCTTGTTGTTGGCCGCTCTAATGTGGTAGACAGATAATATTCTGTATCCTCAATTCCTGAGTGGGTGAGTACTATACTTTTGTTGGAGAAATCTCGTGACTTGACCAAGTAAGAACCGGGCAGTTGTTGCATGGTCTAAATCTAATGTTGAAACTACATATCAAAACTATGGTTCACACTGCTGTGTGATGATCTAGGTTTGGCCCGTTCTATGAGAAATGAAGGCGCTTCTACCTCAACCTCAACCTGTGGAGATGAATTGTAATAATAAAGGTGCAACTTATATTCCTAATAATCTAGTTTTCAAGGAAGAACCAAGCATATCGAGGTTAACTGTCACTCCATTAATGTCACAGAGCAAGAGGATTTTCACTATTTTTATTAGTTCGATGGACAAATAGGTGCTCTTTTCACTAAGGAATTAGCTAGGAAAAAGTTTTCGCTTTTATGAAACAAGCTAGGCATGATTGATGTAAATCAGCTTGAGCAGGACAATTAGAGTGTTAATATAGTAGAGAAATGTGCTTAGCCCACATATTGGAATATAATGAAATTGTTAGTTGTGTGATATTTGCTTTCCTATAAATAAAATCAACTATTCCTCTGTCCCTTTCAGAGATCAACTCAGTTTCCCAACATAATAGGTGTTTTATGGTTTCCCTATTTATGGTTTGGAATACCAGAGTAACCAGATCCATTAATAGAAATGTAAACTTCAAAGCAGGATGCACATACTCTGAATTACCCATTTACCCTTATGGTTAGTTTGCTTAGGAAGAGAGAGTGCCGGAGGATTGTTTTTCTATTGGTGCGACATCTGTGTGTCTGTGGGTTTTGAAGATGGTCTCAAACAAACTTAACGATCGGGTTAGTCATACAATCAACAAAATTCCTCTGCGGGATTAAGATGTTGAGCTCAACTCCGTCATACTTATAGATAAAGGTAGAACAGTAACCAGAAATGTGAAAGTCTCATATTCAGAAAATATGTAGCAATAACCCGAAGAAAGTAAACAAAAAAAGAAAATTAACTTTGGTAGACTAATACTTACATGAGTTTCACATGTATTTACTCGAACATTATCTTCGGTTTGGACATTTCTGCAAAACAATGTGCAAGTCAAACATTATATGAATCCTCGAGAGAAATAGAAGTCTTTGAATAGGCCTTACGAAATGCTAAAATTGAAGGAATATTTAGATTAAAGCTTAAATGATTTTTATTTTGTAAGCGGAATGAAAAGAACAAAAAAAGTTTTGTTGATAAACAGTCATTACCAGCAATAATGCAGCTTCTAGTCATATAACACTACCATTTTTTATTGTCTTGAACTAGGTGGCTTTAGCTGTCCATTTGCCAGAAGAATTTTAAGTTCGGGAGAGAAATAGTAGAGGAATTCTTCATGAATACTACACTGGACATGTTTCTGGTGCTGGGGTTCTAATTCTTAAAGGATACTTGTCGGATATTTGTTAAATCATATCCTAAAGATGAAATGCATACTAGATGTGTTAAGTACCCATGAAACTTTGAAAAACAATCAAGCATAAAATGGTTGACCAAAGTTGTAGATACGCATTTCTACACCTCCCCAGTAAAAATGATAATTGGGTAACTATTGACTTATACAACTTTTGGAACTACTTTAAAACACCTGACTTATTTTATGCTTATAAACTGTTTTAACCTCACAAAATCCATTCATAAATATCGCAAACACATAAACACATAATTTATATTTAGTTGCATCCATGACTCACATTATTTTGAAAGGATTTCCATCCAATAACATTTTAAGGATTTGCCACATCTACATAGTAATATCATTTTGTATTTGAATGTTTTTTTTAAACTGTATCCCCCGTAGCGCCGCTCAACCACGACAAAAATCTCATCATGACATTTCCTTTTGCTCTGATATCCGCTCAGGACTGAACCGACTTCGACCCCAACTGTACCTACTCGATATCCACCAAGCTTGATTGTCACCACCTGAAGTCTCTCCGCGCAAATCCTTGCCGCCAAACTTCTCCTTGACTGATACAATCATTACAAATCAGATCTGATCACAACTTGAGCTGATCCATCTCACCCTGATTCGTTGCCTTGAACTCAACTCTAGACCAGAACATTACGGGTCCAATGTGTTCCATCTAGATCAGATTCAATCTGTCTGATCCAGACCAGATCCCATCTGTCACCGTGTCACGTTTATGCATTTGCGTTTATCTGAATATCTTTTCTATATGTCTCATAATGCTACAGTTTCTAGTGCTGTTAGCTACACATCACACTAATTTCTTTATTAAAAATCATAGAGTTACTTTTAGTTATAAAATCTGAATAGCTAGCAAAGCTTGTTTTATTCAAATTGGCTAAAATTGATAAATACAATGGTACTACAACATGTGGCATAGAAAAATTAGGTACGGTCCTATACATGACAGCATAGATAATGTCATCAAAACCACTTATCCAACCCTAACTGAAACCTCTACTACCGAGGAAAATAATGGATTTGAGCAGTGGAAATCGAAGGACAAGAGGGCTAAGTCTCATGCTCATGTTCACAAAAGAAAATCTAATTAAAGCTTTTGAAATTTGTAAAAATTCCATGGACATATAGAATGCAATAAGAGAAAAGTATGACACCGACTCTGAAGTTAACATTCAACTCCTCTCGTATAAGCACAATTTTTGTCACATGCAGGCACGTCATAGAACACATTAACAAAATGATTGTCATTACTAAGGACCTATCTACTATCATATGCCGAGACTAAAATCCAAGAAAGAATGCAAGTGGCAAACATATTAAAATTCTTCCCCTTCACTTGTTATGGTTGCCACCAGATTAAGTCTGTATCGTGTCATTACATGTCTTCCTGATTTTCTAATGCACTTGGCGACAGAACAAGACTTGAAAACCAATAGAAAAGGACAGAACATAGATTCATGCACCTGAGACAACAATAAAATATACGAATCATGGCCTTAATAAACCATAATTTAAGGGCCTAAAGTCAGTAATTCAAGAAGAAGGTACCTTGCGGAGCTTGCTACAACTATGGAATATCTGGACATCACAGTAATTCGAGAAGAAATTCGAGAGGAAGGTACCCTGCACCTGCAGAGCTTGCTACAACTATGGAATGTTTCGACAGTTGTCCAGCTGTCCCAAAAAACATGTGAAGAATGGTGGACATAAGCACCGATAACAAGGAGGAAATTCGTCAATGTGACGAAGCACAACGCTATGATGATGGACATTGGAGGATGATGGATAGACTTGGTGCAACAAGGCACCTCCCCAGAACAAGCATGGAGTGACTGATTTCACTGAGCTAAAGCGAAGAGAACAGATGATATATGACATCTACCTGAATGCAAAATGTATTGGTTCTTATATATTGCATCTTGGGGAAACTGTTCTCGTTCCTACAGTTGTCCTTTATGCACCGAGAATTAGGCGCTTCTTGTCTCCATTGCAAGCTTATGAAGAATAGGCTAGAAGTGAGATTTTTTAGTAAGTGTTTGCTATAAGGAAATATGTCCCCGAGCATTAATTGTTTTGTCTACATGTAGTATGTAAAAACTCCGCTTATAAAATCTTTGATTTGAAATACTCTTCTATTATATTTCTGAGCATGAATTGTGGCATTCGAGATTGGGACATACTAATATCTTTAAGACATATCAGAATGTTAAAATGAACTTGGTTTCTGCGCTGTCTAATGTTAAGTCATCAACATGTGAACATTGTCGAACTCAATGTTCTAAAAAAAGGATTACATTGTTGAATTGCATGTTTGTTGGTTTTCTTAGTATATTTTCTATTTTAATATATTTTATATATTTGAACATATGATAAATTATTAAATATATATTAAAAAGTTCAAGAACACATAATTCCATGTAATCCACTTAATCAACCCTTAATCTGATTAATCATTAAGGCTGCGTTTGGGAACTTGGATTTGGGCCCTGGATTTCAAATTCAGTGTATTTCAAATCCAAATCTCTAGTTTGGATTCTAAATTGGACTGAAATTTCAAATCAGATTATTCCAGAGAGGAGAATTTGAAAGCCCAAATACAAATATTTCAAATCCCACCCTACCCCTTGGAATTTACCAAATCCAGTCTGGCCCCGTTGCTTCTTTCTCTCGTTTCCAAATCCCGACCTCTTCTCTCCCTCTCTCTCTCTCTCTCTCCTCCCTCCCCCTCTCTCCCCTCTCCTCTCCCCCTATCGTCGAAACCCTAGATCAAATCTACGGTTTCTTCTCTCTCTCCCCTTTACGTTGAAACCTAGATCTCCTCCCACTCCGACTCCGAACCCGATAACCCTAAACCCTAGTTTCTCTTCTCTGTCCATTTCCAACGGCGGTAAGAAAATGGATGATGAGCAGGAGGAGAAGGAAACTGATCGCACATTCCCAATCCTCTGCAATGGCGGGGAGATCACAACTCACTACCAAAACCGTAACCCTAATTTCGTCAATGAGGAGGAGGAGGAAATGGAAGATGAGGGGGAGTGGGAGAAGGAAGCGTTGATCTTGACTCTTTAGGGCTTTTAGAGATGGTGAGGATTGGAGGAAAGCGCCGTTGACAGCGGAGGATGCGTCTAGGGTTATGGAGGTGACGAGGGATGTGGGATTTCGTGGATCGGCGCCGGATTGGGCGGATCGGGAGACCGAGGATCGGTGGGTGGATGGGTTGAGGAGATTGAGAGGTGAGATTACTGCTACTACTTCCCAAGGCTAATTAAGAGGTTGAATTTGTTAAATTTTTTGTAGGCTTTGTTGATTATTATGTGTTCTTCTTCACATTTTGATATAAAGATTTTATCTTTGCATATTGTTCAGTACTTCGCATCTGCATTATTTTACACACACTAATACTAGATTGTTTTACACACACACGCGCATGCACAACACACACACCCCGCACACACGCACGCGCGCGCATGTATGTAACAATTAATAATGTTGAAGCTTGGTACTCAATTTTATTCCTGTGCTGCACTACATGATCTTTTTTTCTGGAATTTCCTAGTGGATGTTGATTATCTTTTCTCTTTTCAGGCTTATTAATGCTAAGGATCATACATTTCGTGCCTCTTAGTAAAACAAGTGTGCATGGTTCAAGAAAATAATTCACTGCATGCTTGAGACCCTTTTTTTAGATTAGTATAAAGATATCCCGAGCTGTGATGTGAATGTGGTATTGGTTTGACTGAATCCTCAAATTGGTTACCTGTGCTTTTATTTTTAGAGATTTTATTCATATTGACTCACTTAACTTTAACACTTAATAGATTTCATCTGTGTTCATTCCTTGTCACATTCTAACTCACAACATTTGCTTATTGCTTGAAAAACAGTCATAAATATATGATGATTAGCAAGAGAAGCACTAAACTGTTTATATGGCTACAAGGGCAACTTATGATATGCGGTCCTAGATTTCTATAGCAAAAGAAACTACTAGAGGCTGAACGCAATATGATATTTTTATCCAACTATATATCGACTGTTATGATATACGTTTGTTCCGCCTTGCTATCTCACCTCTCAGCGCAATTCTTCGGTTTTGTTGTTCCTTCTTACTATGCTATTATCATATTTGTCACTCTGGAACTTTAAGAAAACACATGGTGTAGTTTTTGCTTTTGCCTAGTTTTGATGAGAACTAACTGGACTCATGTGCATGCAAAAGAAGAAAGAAACAAGCCGACAGAAAATATATATATCAGAATTCGCGATTTATTATCTGCAAATGACATGTCCAGACTTTATGATTTTCTTTTTTATTTTCCTTAGAATTCTGTTATAGTCTCATTAGAGGTCGTGGCAGCATCAAGGATCCAACTTGGGTAATTTTTGCTATAATGATAAACTAAGAAGTGAAAAAATTTAGTTCCAGATATTTAGAAACAAATTTTATTTTCTAGTGGCAAAAATTTAGTTCCAGATATTTAGAAACGACTTAAGATTAAGAAACAAAGTCCATGATACGTCGTGCTAATACTTTTATCCATTACAGGAGGATATGATGAGGGGGAAACTAGGATATGAGCACTTGGATGAGCCTATTCAGATTTTAGCAGAGGCAGAGTTGTCAGTTGATATTATCGATACCCGTCTGATGCAAGCTCGTGAGATCTTGGAAGATTTTCTCAAGCATGTGGTATTACTATCTTCTCAGAAATTCCCCAACCATCATTTTTCCTTGAATCCTATAGAACACAATTTGTAATATTCTTCATCTTTCCTTTTACAGGATGAATCACAGGATTTCTTCAAAAAGAAGCAGCTGAGAAAGCTAGTTTTGCTCAATGGCACGCTTCGTGATGAAGGGTCAAACATCAAAAGAAGCAGCTGAGAAAGCTAGTTTTGCTCAATGGCACGCTTCGTGATGAAGGGTCAAACATCTCTGGCTCGTTATCTCCCTTCAATGATACTTTTGCTCAATGGCACGCTTCGTGATGAAGGGTCAAACATCTCTGGCTCGTTATCTCCCTTCAATGATACTCTCAGTATGAAGAGAGCCAAGACCCGAAGGGTCAAACATCTCTGGCTCGTTATCTCCCTTCAATGATACTCTCAGTATGAAGAGAGCCAAGACCCCGAGTGTAACTCTTAACTCGATAGCTTCTTTGAGTATTACCATTCTATATTGGGGTTTCGCCAAGAAAACCGATTCCCCTAATTCCCAGCAAGGCACCTGCAGAAAGAAGGGTCCTTAGCTAGGTAACAGTCTGAAGTGTGTTTGACATGCTATAGGGGAATATGGCCAGTGGGTAAAGTTTCATGTCTTGTGAAGTTTGGTTATTGTGGGACAATATGCTCATAGATATGTTTTAAGTATTGTGGGAGTTTGTGTGGAAGGATCCTTTGGGTTGCTGTATCAGCTGTGAGGAATTGTACTCACCTGGAGCTGGTCCAGGTGCAGGTGTGTTTAGAATTTAGATCCTATTTGAGTTTTAGTATAGTGGAAATAACTCATTGTGGTAAGAAAGAAGGAAGTAGTAAGAAAACCACCAACCGGATAGGAGATTCATCAAGTTGTCTCAAATATATCCAACTTAAGTCGCATTCAAGTGTTCAATGCATTTAAGAAGATAATGGATAGCAACCCGAAAAAGTTTTATTTGTTAATGTCACTTCTTGATGATGAAAAAAGAGATTTTATTCTCTTTATTTCTTAAGCAGTAGTTTCTAGTTGAATGACAAGAATCCCCAAATTTTTGAACCCATTCGAGTAAGTTCTCTCTTGGATTTCTTTTTCTTTTTTAAGGCATATTTAACTCCCATTATTTTGTCATTTATGTTAGGATGCACACTTATAGTTGTGATTTGCCTTTGTTGTAGATATTATTTCTGTTTTAAAGCATATTTTGTTTCATGAACTAATTGATGCTAATTTTTTTAATGTAGGATCCAATAAGTTCTCCGAGACATGAGTTGGAGGCATAGGAGAAAAGGAGGAGAAGACTTTGAAGGATAAATAGACGATTCTTGTTATGGTTTCTTTTAGTAGTTTATGTTGTGCTAATTTAGCTTGTTGTAGAAAATCATGGTTATCTACCACCTATAGTACGTTGTGTTTTAATATGTTGTGCTAATTTAGCTTGTTGTAGAAAATCATGGTTATCTACCACCTATAGTACGTTGTGTTTTAAGTGAAGACTTATTGTGTAGCCTAGAGCTTCTTATGTGGATTGTTCGCTATACTCTTTTGTGTCGTCAAGTCTTTTATCATGACTAATTTTTAAAGTGGTACTCTTGTTATTTTGGAGATTGAAGGTCAATGTGGTAGTGGATAAAACCATGAAAAAATGCTATTATAATGAATATTTTGGACATTATTACTATTGTTTGTATTCTCTCGTATCGATTCATGAAGGATGAGATGTTTGCTTGAGTATTTATAATTGCTATTGAGGTGATCAATTTCGGTTTTGAATCAATTCTTAAAGTTTTATTTGTGCATGACAGGTCTTTCTTCCTTTTAAAAAGGCTTGTGTTAAGTAGCATGATACTCAGATATGTTAATTATGTGTATATATCATAAATAGTTCACAGAATGATCATCCTTATCTCTGAAATCCAAGTTCATGTAAAGTGTATCCAAACACTATATTTCAAATTTTTGATTTTAAATCCTTGCATTTTGTAAAGACATCCAAACAAAAGATTCTATCAAATCATGGATTTTAAATCCTAGATTTAAAATCCTTTGATTTTAAATAGATTCTATCAAATCATGGATTTTAAATCCTAGATTTAAAATCCTTTGATTTTAAATCAACATTCCAAATTGAAATCTTAGTTCCCAAACGCAGCCTTCCTAGATTTAAAATCCTTTGATTTTAAATCAACATTCCAAATTGAAATCTTAGTTCCCAAACGCAGCCTAAAAACTTTTGAACCGTGTAAATAATAAAACCGTGTTTTTTTAACATTGGTCAAACTAGTAAAATGACAAAGAAACCTAATACTGGTGGTCAAAGAGGCAATGAATTTTTAGGGTTGGTACACTGAAATTTGTGGTCCCATAAATGTGGAAACACATAATAAAGAAAATTGTATTACTTTCTTATATGATATTCTAAGTTTACATGTTTATCTTATATATAGAAATTAGATGCTTTTGAATGTTTTTAGGAAATATAAACAAAAGTACAAAACTACTTGGAAGAGACAGAAATATTTGGAAATGATGGAGGTGGGGACTATGATTGTAGGAATTTGAAAAACATTACATTCAGAATGGAATTAAAAGACAAACAATGCTGTGCACATCACAAGTGTACGGTGCAGCGCAGCTAAGGGGGGGAATTTTTGAACATTGCTCAATGTAATTAGATGCAAGTTGTCCCATTTTAATTTTTCCAAAAAGGTTGGGAAGAAGCAGTGTTAACAAGTAACAACAAATTATATTTCGAATAGAATGCCCATCAAATTAGTTGCATCTACACCTTAGGAAATATAGAATAGAAGGAAACCTAATCTAAGGCATCTCAAGAAATAGAGTGCAATAGCTCATGTTTTTATTCTATGTCAACTTAGAAATTAGGACGATTCATACGTGATTAAGAAAATTAAAAAGCTATAAATTCTATAATAAAGAAAAGAGGGCCATTGAAAGCAGAGAGGTTACATTTCTAGAGAATCTAGAAGAATAACAAGTTCAAAAGAAAAAAAAAACCTCTAATTGCAGTAGATGATGATTAAAGTGATGTTCCCACATGACCCAAATATCAGGAATTGCCTAACCTTGAAAATGAAGAAATGTGTTGATAATGTACCTCAACATACAGATGTATTAGGCAACAAAAGGCCAAGAGCATAACCAGCATACCAGCATGGATAGATGATTATTATCAGGATTCATACAAACCATCTTATTTCTCGAAATATACAAATACAAAAGAAAAAGATCCTATAATCTTTTTTGACATGATGAAATTGCATGAACCCAAATTAAGGCTAGTTAGCCATGAGAAAACTTGATTCCATAGAAAGGAACAATGTTTGAGAGCTAGGTGATCTAATTTTGAACAAAAAAAACATAGGACGCAAATAGATTCTTAAAAAAATACTGCATCAATGAATCATTGATAAATTCAAAGCACATTTAGCTGTCAAGGGTTACAATCGGAAGTCAGGCATAGACTTTCAGAAAACACTTGGCGCTTCAGGTTTGCTTTGAAGGGTTAAGGAAGGGATGGGTTTTGTTGGATACAAAACTTTTCGAGAAGAGAAGAAGGCAGAGACTAGAGAGAGCTTTTTGATCTCAGAGGAGAAAGAGCTATGACTATTTTGGGAACCACGTATGTTCATTGAGAATAGAGCAAAGAGAGATACTTGGCTTTGAAAAAGTAGTTGGAGATGCACACAACATGAATACGAAAAAGTATACATAAATATACGTAAATATGTAGCTGTAGCTGCAAACTTATACAAGAATAGGAATACGAGATATGACTACATAGACAAGGCAAATGTTGAAAATTTAGAATGCCAATACATTGTGGATACAACAATTATAGAGATAAACATGCATGTCTCGGTCGGTTATGTGAACAATCATATTCTTTACCAATAACCACACAAATTACAAAATTATAAAATATATATAACTCAACTTGAATAATGGGTCATCACGCGTATATTTGATTTTAACTCCAGTGTCGAATACATAGATAATATAGCATGACATCAGGAAAAAAAAGAAGAAAATTAAGACCAGGGTCCAACACTTAGATCAATGGCTTCACGTTGAAATCAATGACTTAACACATGAATCACTTGACACATGAATGAACGCTTTCAAGCCTGGATTATTGGTCATACACATTAATCTCACACCATAAAAGGTAGGTTTCACACCCAAGATAGAATCACATGACCTATAGAAATCATTATATTTTCTATAACATCATTTTTTATTGAAGAAAAAACTAGAATCTTTATAAACATTGAAAACTTGTCCGTTTGGATACCATGGTGTTTTCCTTGTTTCCATGGTGTTTTTGCTAAAAACAAAACACAATGTGTTTGGAAACCATGGTGTTTTTAAGCTAAATCACCATCAAACAAAAAACACAACACTTATTTCAAAACACCTTTCAGGTGTTTTAAGTTTGATGTTTTGGTTTTGAGTTTGAGAATGTGTTAATATAATATCTAACATAATATATTAAATATAATTAATATAAAGTTATTATCAACATGCTTATTATATTATACTATACACTATACTACATTATAGTTAATTTAATATATTAGTAATATTTATTAAATAATATCAAAAAATAATAAATAAAATATCTTATATAATAATATTAACATATTAAATACCAATATTTAATATGTTAATAATGTATTATATAATAAATAAATAATAATAAATATAAATAAACTAATAAAAATAATAAAAAAGTTATTGATAATAAATAATAATATAATAATATACTATACAATAGTATAATCGCTATAATATGATTAACTTTTTAATAAATAAATTGAAATAAATTAATAATTATAAAATATTATATAATAGTAACATATTTAATAACCACCAAAATATAATAATAATATTTATTTTAAATAACATGTTATATAGTAATGTAAAATATATATATAAATATTAATATATTAGATGTAATAAATATATAATGTTATTATCAAAATATAACATTTTTAATAATAAAATAATTAATTGCTAACAAATATTAATGTAAAATAATATATTCATAATATACTAAATATTTATTAATATCTAAATACTAATTCAAGGTTGCCATAGGTAGGTACGCGGTACGGACACGAGTACGGGTACGGACACGGCAAATTTGTAAAAAGCTAGGGTACGGAGATCAACTTGCGGCGCTCATATATATTATATATAATATATATATATTATTAATATATATATATATATATATAAAATTAAAAAATTATTATAACTAGTAACAAGTTTTATATGTAATTTCAAATTGAGAAATAAGCTCGATTAGATTAAAACCCGAAACTCAAAGCTAAGCGGGCCGCTTAAGATGACGCTGCTCAACTATTATAAAAAATAAAAGTCCAACTGATTTTAACTCAAACCGAACCCAAATCCACGCCCAAGCCCAAACACAAGCCCAGCTTTATAACATAAAACCTGTTCGCTTAACAAAACGGAAAGAAACGCCTGGATCATATTTGTCCGGGCTCCTCTCTGTTCTCTCCTCCTTCAGAATCTGAGATCGGCTCCTCTTCTCTACCTTCAGATCCGACTCTGAGGCGAATTCTGGGGCTCAGGGTTTTCACGCGTTCTCCCCTGCGCGAATCTCGTCATGCACTCCTTCCCTCCAAGCTGTCGTTACCTCGAGGCTGGAATGTTTCGTCGAGCTCTGATTTCGTCGTCGAGGAGTTGGTTTTTTCGACGTCGGATCTCTGATTTCGTCGTTCGAGGAGTTGGGTTTTCGTCGTCGATCTTTCTGGATTTCGAGAATCTGATTTGTGTCGTCGGGAGTCTGGGTTTTTTCGTCGTCGAGCCTCTGATTTCGTCCATGTGCGAGGCGTTGGGTTTTCCGTCGTCGAGCTCACGCTGGTAAAGGGCCTAAAGGCTCAATCCGCTTCAGTGTTGTTTTTTTCCCGCGCACAAAAATTTCAGGTTGGTTTTTGTTTCCCGTCGCGAGTGATTTGGCGTGTGCTGCTCGTTGGGTTGGCGGATCCGCACCCGAAAGACGTACCGCCGGAACGTGGCTACGGGACCTAGAATGACGTGTCGGTGGTAACATAGTATACTAATATATTGTTAAAGTACTATAATAACTTCCTTAACATATTAAAAACTATAATATATTATATAATATTAATAATTTTTTAAATATATTAATTTATTAATAACATATATTAACATTATTAAAAATATATATCTATATAATAATTTATTAATATTATATTATTCTAATAATGTG